TTTTGTTTGGCGAATTCCCTAGATAAATAAAAAAGCTTCTTGGCACTGGCAGGCAGGTGATCTGCAACGTAAACTGGTTGGCGCTTGCCAGAGATGTTGATGAGTCCCGTGTTAAGTTTTTCCTCAACAGTTTTGTTACTGTTGTTGAAGTCTCGTACAGCAGCAATAGTTTTCTGTTTCATCTGGACTGTCTGAAACTCGGCAACGATCGGACGTGTAGACCCTGGCTTACTGGGCAACCGATAAATATCACGTAAATCTGATGGAGTAATCACAGATCCTACGGTATCTCCGATCACACAAATGGTTTTGGCTAGATAGGAAGTGGTCTCTTTATCAACTTGTGGAACGTTTCTTATCTCTATGCTGGAGGATCTAGATTTGAGTTGGAGGTCTTGAATATTCCTTTCCAGCTTTTCAATACAAAGTCGCTGTTCCAGACGTTCCTTTTGTAAGGTTGTTAGACCCGATTTTAACTCCTCATATTGATTGTTTATAAATTCCATTGACTGTAAAATTTCATCATTTGATTTTTGAATTTTATAGTTTTGGAGTTTTAGTTCCGAAATATCACTAGATAGTTTAGATATAAGAGAATTTTGTTTAATAAACATATCGTTGAGTTTGGTATCCAATTCTGTCTTCCAGTTAGTTAACAATTCCATTATATCATGCTTCTGGTCATGACTATCACTTGCCGGTGACGGGGCCAATTCAGTGCGAGGGCGCTTATTTCGTGTTATATTCACGAAAGAAACATCGCCTTGCTGCAGTGCGTTTAAATCAGATTCCGACTGTGTATGTCCCACAGCTGTAGTCGATAATTTCGGAGGTGTTCGTTGAGTGGACATGTTGTATTTTATATAACCAGAGTGCACTGTATGAAATAATGTTGCTATATGGGATACAAATTATGAGTTATAAACGTGGTGTTTACAGAACGAGTATTTCCAAAATACGTAACTTGGTCTTGATCGTGCGACCTGACGATGCGGGTTGCCGGCTTGTTAACCCGCCACGCTACCAGAAGATGAACGTATTGAAATTGTTTATTGTGTGCGGCTCCAATGCTTCCAAATGGTAGGTAGTTTACTTACATCAATTAAAAGATGGCGTCGCAACATTACCCACCGTTTGTTAAAACAAGAAATGTACAGTGAAACCGGTTTAGTTCTTACATTAATCTGTTTACCACAAGATGGAGTAAGTTGTGTCTATTGTCCTTGATGTGACAAGCAAGGAATTCAAATAACGGATTCTTTAGAAACGAAAGTTTAAAAGCACTTGTTACGTTCACTTTATGGTTTAATGTTTTGGTGGGCTATTAATTACCTCTAGGATTCATTAGTTGTTTATTTGTTTAAATCTGCAAGACACTGTCTTTAATTTTTATAGCACAGTATTTTAGTTTTTACGCAATACCCACCATCACCAACACTCTCACAGATAGTTCACGTATCCTTTGTCACTATTATGTACTTTACTAGTTACAGTTTTTATTTCTAACAATTTTTAATGATATTTTAACGTGAGCACATAAGAAAGCAGTGTTTGCTGAAAGCGCCACCTGACGGCAATCGATTTCGCATAGAAAAATGACATTCAGAAGAGGGTATGAGCCGCAGATTTATGGACAAGAAAATATTTAAAAATCTTTACTTAAACGTGTCATCTCCAGTGCACAAGACAATTATAGAAATCATTACATTTTATGAAGTTTGTTTAATACAAATCGCAAATGTCTTTGCTCTTTCCCTGTACAGAACTCCTCTCGGATACCACCCACCAGTGGGGTTGTATGTCTCCAGGTACCAGTAGCCGGGGAGTATACCTTAGAAAGGAAAGCCCTGGTAACCCGATATGTGAGTGATGTGCCGGATATCCGTATCCGTATCCGCGGATATCCAAGGGAGAAGAGAGATCCGTAACCGTATCCGTATCCGTGACTTTTTTGGCGAATCTTTCAATACATATTACATAGATGAATTTCATATCATTGGGAGAGGCCTATGTCCAGCAGTGGACAAGCATAGGCTGAGAAGAAGAAGATGAAATTCTATATAGGTGATTTTGTATTCACTGTAAAACTCTTAGGTATGTGTTTGTAACACTATAAACAGCAACGTGGCCAATGTGAAAATGAAAAAAAATTGGCCCTCAATTCAAATGACCAATCTAATGTTGTTAGTTTGGATGGAGAAACATTTTTTTGTTTTTTGTTTTCGGTGTTAGTCCAGAAGAAAAGTTGTTGTTTATAATGTTACTAATATGCACTTCAGAGGTTTTCAGTACATTTAAATTTAACCCTGAATAATGGTTATTAGGTAGCTATGAAAAACTATTGAATTCTGTTTAGATTACTTTTATTTCTTAAAACAAATATTTGGCACCTTTGTATTGTAATCATTTATCGTACTACACTAAATCAACTAGGCAGGTCGTAGGTACTGAAAGAGCTATCTTTATAATGAGATCAATCAAACATCTTTGTATTAGCTTATTAAAATAATGAAATATTTAAATATCAACGGCAAAGCGTCAAGTGGCGACAACTATCAAGGTCACGGGCTCCGATTGAGTAAGAAACTTAAGATCCGTATCCGCGGATCTTGACACCAAATATCCGTATTCGGATCCGTATCCGCGGATATACTTTGTTAACGATCCGGCACATCACTACATAACACATATTGTTTTGTTAGACCTATGTATCTCAAATCATCTCCTTGTTTATTATTATGATGATATTATAATTTCCGTAATATTCTATTCATTATAGCATTCGGTTTGAGGTTTCTTTAGCCACGCTTTTACAATTACTATTTCTGGTATATTCTTTATCGCACTTGTAAACTATGTACCTATCATAAAAACAAGAGTCATTAACATCTCTCTCAAGTCTCTATTTACCCAGTTTTTGTCAGGATTAAGATAGTGTAGTTGTTTAAGTTCATATAAAGGATCACTGTAATCAAACAACTCTTAATCAATAATGTAGTAAAATTTTGCTCCTGCACCGATAGATGGCGTTGTAGCGTAATTTTTTTATTTGAACCACGGCGGTGGTTAATAAACAGTCACAAGTGTGTGTGTTTTATTCATTGTGGCGCCCCATAGCGAGCAGTTTATGAAGTTAAACAAATTTGGAGCCGAAGCCAGGGACCTTCAGGACATTAAAGTGGTAGTGGAGAGTGATATAAATCAAGCAAATTTGGACCAAAAACTATTAGTACATTTTCATATAAAAGTTACTAGTGTTGTGGCACTTTAAAAATTCAGGAAGTAAATTTAGACTTGTAAATTTTTTAATTCAATTCACGGAGTTATAAAAGTGTACAGACGTAGAATCTATGCCTGACAAAAAACACAATTCTTGCGTTTTTAAAAGACTTAAAAAAATCGGGCAACATCCAGTTTCATTATTATTCACCACTTGACCATTTTGCAGGCCGCGTATAAATTAATGTCAAGAAAAAAAGACTAGTAAAATTTTATAAAGCAGAAATCAATTGAAAAAAGAGCTCAAAGGATAGAATCACGAGAGGATGTGTTGAAACGAGATTGGAATCGTTAGAAAAATCATGGCAGGAATTCACAGAAATATCTGTTTATGTATGTATATCTGTCATTAGAAAATTTACACGCCAGTAGAGCCAGAACAGGTCTCTAAAATTAAATACTTCACTTAGGATACATGCGATACGTTTGAGGAAACTTATTCTTGATTCAAAGGTTGTTTGAAGGAAGTTCTACGTAAGATTGGTGAAACTAATTGAAAGGTCAACTGTCAAGATCCAACTGTTGTTAACCCACTTTCAGTGGAAAGTATGGATGGATGAGTCGCAATAGTTTTACGATCTCTTTTCTTCACTTGTCAACAATAATCCAAAGTTGTCTTCTGTAGAAAAATTGCACTTTTTGAAGAGCTATGCAGAATATCTTATTCGAAATTAGTCAACGACGGAGTTAAGTAACACTTTACAGGGTATTCACACAGAAACAAATCAATACTGAATCCGCGAACGCTATCAAGGGTTTGTTGGATGTCACGACTGCTTGCATTACATCTTTAAACAATATGGGTAGGATGCTATCATAATCTTTCTGGACGGTAAGTTTACCCATACAAGTACAAGAAGACCAGCTATTAAAACAATTCTGGGAGTTGGAAAACGAGTGATTCTGAAGAAACTAGGAAAGGTGGAAGAAAAATGTGAGAAAAATTATGATTCTACTATGTTCAGAAATTAGGAAGGAAGATTTGTAGTCAGGTTGCCTCTAACCAGTGAGGACCCAGAATGTCAAACGGACGTTCAAAGAACATTGCACAGAAAAGATTTCATCTCTTAGAAAAAAAAAATTAGATGAAATAGATGTAGTCGATGTAGTCATAATTAGGGAGGACAACTTGGCTAAAACAAAGTAGATTTTGTTCAAAAGCATCCAGGCAAAGACAATGTTACAATAGTGGTAACTGTTAAATGTAAGGATAACTCTAGTCGCTTAACTTCAACTCGGATAAAACCAATGTTCGGGCATCTACGTCACGCATCACATACATAACACTAAGGCTTATAAAGCAAACTTCATTGAAACGATGTCCTTTTCTTTAATAGTGTTTTATGCAACGAATGATAAAATTCAAATTGATGTAAACGATCACTGTAATCAAACTACTCTTAATCAATAATGTAGTAAAATTTTGCCCCTGCGCCGATAGATGGCGTTGAAACGTAAACTTAGATCGCGCTTTGGTTTGATTTCAGCGAGATGCTTATATTGTTCTTTATAGATAGCCTAATGGGTCGCATTTTTTGAACCACGGACGTCGTAAGTAAACAGTTTGTGAGCAGTTTGTGAAGTTAAACAGTAGTAATACTTAGATTACTAATTATACGAAGACTGACCCTATAAATATGATTGGATTTAATCCAGATAACAAACAAAACGAAATTAAATTAAAAACTTTGGTATCTCAAAATAACGAGTAGGATACGTACCATGATGGCTCGGAGTCCTCGGGCGCCAGTTTTTCGTTCCATGGCGAGACCGGCTACAGCTTTCAGGGCGTCATCGCTGAAGGACAGATCGCATTTGTCCATCGCGAACAGCAATTTGTACTGAGATACCTGAAACAATACAATATTTATACATTTTTTTATGGTATAAGAGGGCAAACGATCAGACGGGTCACCTGATGGTAAGCAACTATCGCCACCCATGGACACCTGCAACTCAAAAGTCACAAGTGCGTAAATAATCAATTAAATAATTTTATTAAATGGATTCGTAACAAATGGCGACTTGAACAAACAACTTTTGAATGGATAAGTAGTATATAGAAGAATTATTAGCATTTTGGTATACAAAGAGTTACTAGGAGAAATATTTAAAAGTAAGTTTACCATAGCGTTTTTAGGTTCTGTTAATATCCGCACAAGTAGGTCCTGGTTTAAACTGTGGAACGGCACCAACACTGGAAATCGGCCGACGAACTCCTGTAAATCAATTTCTCTTTTAAAACATCGTTCATATTAAGTAATTTTATTTATTTATTAATTGTTTCACATCACATCAACATCCATTAACAGTTCACTGCTGGACATAAGCCTCTCCTTAGAAAGGAGGTTTAGGTCTACTATACCACGCTGGCCGAACGGGTTGGTATAGGGGTTGTGTCAAGTTTTCCTTTTCTTTGCAATGTTACACCGCTGCTGCGCACTGCTTACGACACTCACGGGATGAATAGGGGTGGTGACACTCTGTTCTTAATCCGTTACCACACGCAATTTAATTGTTTGTTACAGGTATGATGAGTTATAAAAGCATTAGGTACATCCGCAACATGTCTTATTAGGTGTATAATATATTTAATAATGTCATCAAATAAAGTATGAAGAAAGAGAAAAACAGAATACAAATACAAATTAAAATTATGGGAGATACAACGTCAAGTCAAATTTAAATTAATAATATCATAAAGCAGTAATAATAATTATAAATTGAATAAGTATTATTTAACGTCATTGTCTTTAAGAAAATTACTGACATTAATAACATAATTTATTAATTTATATTTTATGCATTTTTTTCTTAAAGTTTATAAGATCTATAGTCAGGAAACTTGTTATTTTAGGCGCCATACCCAAAATACTTTTTTTGCATTAGAGTTGTTCTATATGTCCTGCCGTTAATATTGTTTTTATATTTTGGCCTTAGGAGACGTGTACGTACTTGACACAATTTGTGTGTGCACTGTAGAGGGTGTGTTATAATAATAATATATTTATTTACCAGAATATGGGGATTGCTAGTAGTTACATTTTAGATGCTAGCCATATTTTGCCGTTGTCCGGTGAACAAAACGTTAGGAGCTTTAATTTTTATATATATATATTTCTTATTGTCAAAAAAAAATTGATGCTGTAGAAAACTTGACATAAATCGTATGCCAACCCGTCTAGCCAGCGTGTTTTAGTAGGCCGAAACCTCCTCTAGGCGTATGTCCAGCGGTGGACCGTTAAAGGCCGTCGATGTGAAGCTATGCGTACCGGGATCATGCCGAAGTCGATGAGGTCCCTCGCCTGCACCTTGCGCAGCCAGGCGTCCCGCTCGTCGTTGTCCTGCTGCGCGCTGTCGAGCGGCGACGCGTCCGAGCGCGCCTGCGCCAGCGCCGCGCGCCGCCCCGAGCGCGCGTCCCACGCACCGAACCCGAGGTACTTCTCGTTAGAGCGCCGCTGCACCAGCCTGGACACACGTCCCTTCTCTTACTCACTGTATTTTACCCTTTTCTATGCAATTTGTAATGATGACGGAATTTTTTTGCATGTCAATATGACTAAACTTTAGCACTTATGTCTTCTATAACAACTTATGTACAACGTTTAATGGCAAATAAACTATTCTACCTCTCGTACTTAACACTCTCGATAACGTAATATACTCTCAAATAATACGTTTCAATATTCATTCTAATTCAATTCACAGTGACTCATATGCCATTTAAAATGTGACTACAATCAAAATTGAGCTTTGGATATATACGTTTTCTTAGGAATAAAAAATATTATTTTAAGAATACAATTTACATGATAAAGTCTCCCTCCCCCCCTCTCCTATGAGATTGGAAATAATAATGATCCATAAAATTACTTTTAACTCCCTAGGCGTAACCTCTAGACGTAATTAATGGATGCAGACAAAAAGGAATTACACTAAAACCCTGGAAGACCCATACGCAATAAAGAAAATATAAATATCACTAATAATCTTCATAGTTTATTCTCAGTTATAAAATATCTTAGCGAAGCCAATAAACTTATATCTTAAATTTTTTTATTAAAATCCATTGTATGCTCAATATCTTGGCAATTAGCGATAAGATATTCAGATAAAAGCCTTATACAGGTCTCCAAAACTTTGCCCTGGGTATGTAATACGATTACATCAAAAACGACAAGGATACTTAAGACAATTCCCTACGAATCCATAGAATATCTTAACCTTGAGCTCTATAGAGACATAACTGCTAAGTATCCAACAACTTCCAGGTTCATAGTGCTAGTCATAACATAGCAATCACTTTATAGAAGTAAAATCCTCTTAAATATAAAATCAATATTTGTCTATACAAATAGATAAAATTGGAGTGTCTGTTTGTAATATTAAAAAAAACCGCTTTTTACAAAATGCATATGTATGTTAACACGATATATATGCCAAAATAACATTTTTTACAATTTTTGTCTCTCTGTCTGTCTGTTTGTTCCAGGTAATCTCTGGAACGGCTAGACCGATTTCGACGGGACTTTCACTGGCAGATAGCTGATGACATAAGGAGTAACTTAGGCTACTTTTTTTAGACTAGCTTCGCCCCGCGGCGTTGCCCGCGGTTATAACAAAAAACGCGGGTAACACCGCGGGTCTCAGCTAGTCTTATATATAAGAATGTTTCTTTTTTCGTATTTTAGTATAACTAACTACTAACTAATGCTAACTAACCTGTCGAGTCCGTTGTAAGCACCGCTAGCCACAAACAATATGTTTGTGGTGTCAACTTGGACGGCGTCACCCCTTAATTTGCGAGAATTCCGCTCCGGAACTGATACGACCGCACCTTCCAGCATTTTTAACATGCCTTGTTGGACTCCTTCGCCTGGAAGAAGAACGATGGGTGTGAATATCGAGGGGTGATTTTCAATTGATGAGGATCCTGGACCAGGCTAGGTGATCAAGTTTTGGTTTGTACCTACAGCTTGATACTCTTGGAAATACATCACATATTGTTCTTTCACAACACATCTATACTAATATTATAAAGCTGAAGAGTCTGTTTAAACGCGCTAATCTCAGGAACTACTGCTCCGATTTGAAAAAATCTTTCAATATTAGATAGCCCATTTATCGAGGAAGGCTATAGGCTGTATATCATCACGCTAAGACCAATAGGAGCAGAGCACCAATAAAGAATGTTGCAAAATCAGGGAAAATTTATTCCTTTTAAAAGACAGGCGAAGTTACGCGAGTCAGCTATACTTTATACTTACATAGTTTTACACATTGATACTTATATGCTTTTTTTTTTGTTAAAAAAAAGACAACTCCCGCATTAGGAATACATTCCTGTGTCGCGGGGGACTTTACAAACATACATGAAACGGACACAAAGAACACCCAGACTTAGAACAACAATTTGTGGATTACACAAAGTGTCGTCCCATGTGGGGTTTGAACCCACAACACTCGGCGCAGTAGGAAGCGGCGTGGCGACCGCTTAAACCACTACGCCATCCGTGCAGTCTTTGTTTTTATCGTAGTAAAAAAAAATGTTTTTCACGAAATTTAAATAATATGTATGTATTTAGAAATGTATAAGTATGTTTATCAACAGTCTGGTTACCATAGCACAGGCTCTGCACAGTTTGGGATCAAACGGCCGTGTGTGAGATGTGTGAAGTTATCTATACAAATAAATAAAATTGGGGTGTTTGTTTAAAAAATAACCGCTTTTTACTAAATGCATATGTATGTTTACACGGTACATATGCCAACATAACATTTTTTACAATTTTTGTCTGTCTGTTTGTTCCGGGCAATCTCTGGAACGGCTGGACCGATTTCGACGGGACTTTCACTGGCAGATAGCTGATGACATAAGGAGTAACTTAGGCTACTTTTTTAGACTAGCTTCGCCCCGCGGCGTTGCCCGCGGTTATAACAACAAACGCGGGTAACACCGCGGGTATTAGCTAGTTATTATAATAAAGAAACATTAAGTTGTATGGAAAAAATAGCACTAACCTCCAACATCTCGTAGTTGGTGTATCCCTGGTACGGCGCCAATTTTATCGACCTCGTCCAGGAAGACAATGCCTGTTTGTGCTCGCTCCACACTAGAACGATAATAGTATACTGTTAATATCGATAATTTAAGACTAGTTATTTCATGTGTATCTATTTTAAGTTAAAGATGCAGCCATTTAAAAAAGTAACAATTACATTTTAGTTTATTATTTAGTACGATATAAAAAATCCTGAAGACCAATTCTCGTAATAAAAGTTCGGTCAAAATTCAGTTCCGATCAACGTTGACTGTAATGTGATTGTATCGTGTGAAATTAACTCGGTAATATGCTAATCTTAGTAATACTTTACTATTTTACTACGAAAATACTTTTTATGACAGTTGCGAGACCGAAAGTTGATCGGAACTGAATTTTGACCGAACTATTATTAAGAGATATGGCCTTCTGGTAACAATACAATCAAATCCTGACATATTAAAAACTTAAAAAAATATTACCCTATTTAATGCACATACATCATGGACGATTAATAGTAATAAACTCCAGTCTTCATTCCTAAATCTTCCACCCTTAGGAATGGAATTATTTTGACCTAGAATGGGAGAAAACCGATGGTATACCCTTCAGGCAACACATCTGCTTTTTCGTCTCTTAACCATAAATAACATATTTCATGTGTAAGAATTGTTAATCCTTGAAGAAAGAATGGAACAGGGTGTTATCATCATTATCAACAGCCTTTAACAGTCCACTGCTGGATATAGGCATCTCCTTAGAAAGGAGGTTTTGGCCTACCATACCACGCTGGCCAGACGGTTTGGTGCAGAATTGTGGTCCTACGTAGTTTGCTCCCTTAGTCGGCTCTTACGACACCCACGAGATGATTGGGGGTGGTGACAATCCGTATTCTTAATCCGTAACCACACGGACAGCAGGGTGTAGATATTATTATTCACGTCGTTACTCGAACGTTTCAATACTTACTTGAAGTTGGCGTCTTGCAATAACTTGGCAATGACACTTTCGATGTCCTCACCGACGTAGCCGGCTTGCGTGAGCGTGGTGCAGTCGCAGATCGCGAACGGCACGTCCAGGCATTGTGCTATCGTTTGAGCTAACAATGTTTTACCTGTAACAACATACCAACTCGCATCAGTCACATATTAAACATAATTGCAATACTATTTTTATTTACATAGTTTTTTTTTTAACTTGAGACATCTGACACACGGCCGTCTGATCCCAAACTAGGCCGAGTCCGTACTATGGTAAAAAACTGCTAATAAACATACTTATATATTGATACGACCGAATGGCGTAGTGGTTTGTGTAACCGACTGCTATTCCAAAGGTCGCGGGTTCGATTCCCGCTCAAACATTTATGTGCATGAACATTAAATGTTTGATTTGGTCTGGGTGTTTCTATGTATAATAAGTATGTATTTACAAAAAAAGTATATATACGTATTTATATCAGTTGTCTAGTAGCCATAGTACAAGCTTTGCTTAGTTTGGGACTAGATGGCGTTGTGTGAATGTGGTAAAACATTATTTCTAAATTCAGAATGGCAGAACAGAACAGAACAGAATAAATGAACCGTTCATCATCACACAATTAACGGTCTGTCTGTATATTGGCTAACTCCTCTTCGTTTGAAGTAATACAATTTCCGATTTTCCAATTTACAATTAACATCCATAATTTTATTGTAAGCACTCATGCAGAGTATTAACTTTATTATTCAATTTCAATATACGGCTTTCTGAATAAAAAACCGCGATTTACCTAAGATTCTAGGTGGCTAACGTCATCTACTATCTTAACATTTCGACAATTCTATATCTTAATCTCGAAAATTTTGTAAAAGTACGTCTTGTCATTAAAGATCAAGAATAAAAGCTTTTTTTCTAACTCCTTTAGTATCATATTTTGATCACATCATGGACTACAATTTGATCATCTTATTCTTAAATATTTTATTTTTGTATTTAACTTTATAAAAAACTTACAGCTAGTTTAAATATAAGGCAAATATTACAATGGTAAGGTGACACGAGTACAAGTTTTCTCAAATAAAGATTTCTAAACTAAAAAAAATCGTGACAAGCCCAAACCAAAAATTTAGTCGCACGAACCATTTAAAAGACATATTGGTTCTAAGCATGCATCTATTCCAAAAGAGTAGATCTACCTCTGACCTTGGTATTTCAATTAATTACACAAAAATACAAAAATAGACTTGCATATTATATATTACGTAACATAATAGTACAAAAATAGTTATTTTTTAATGCATAATATACGGCCGCCACGCATGCAATACAGAAAGCTGATTATAAGTGTAATTGCGGGTCGGCGCCTGCGCAGAATACCCCATTGGCCGCTTTGTTCATTGTTACTGTCCGTTATGAAATTTAGGCCAGTGTCATAGAAGACGATATTTGTGTTCTTGCTTGGTAAATTTAATTAGTAGTGTGACAAATTATAAATAAAAGCCAGTGTTATCGGCTATTGGACTCGTTCAACAACATCAACATTAAAAAAAATGCATCTAGAGGTAACTTTGGTCTTAATAAAAGAAATAACTTTAAAAACGAAGAGAAATTGTGAGTTTTAATGAGGCACCTGCTTTTTATAGTATAGGAGGAAAAGTGAGGGTGGGGGGGGGCCCAACCGAGCAGATGGACCACCTGATGGTAAGTGACTACTGCCGCAAATGTATACCCGCCACTCAAAAGATTTGAGTGCGTTCACTCTTGAGTCTCCCCTCGCTCAGAATTAAGGAAAGGGGTGACTGCGGGCTTCAGACCTCACCCACTCGGTTAAAAGCAACGATAGAATAGCTTAACACCAGTTTTCTGAGAGGCCGTGGTAACACTCCGGTCGAGACAGCCCATTTGTAGCCCATAGCTCTCCCTTCGTATTCCTTTGCCAATTTTATTTGGGTTGGTGTAATGTGTAAAAATGCAAATTGTTTTAACTGATTTATTCTATAAGCCGTCTGACCGAAGAACAGGTTACCGTTTGTCGTATGGATACTCTACGTACCCATATCTCCATACTGTGATTTTACATAATCAACAGTCTTTAATAGTCCACTGTTGGACGTAGGCCTCTTTTTAGAAAAGCAGGTTTTGGTCTCCTATACCACGCTGGCCAGACGGGTTGGTATAGGGTTTGTATCAAGTTTTCCTTCTCTTTGAAGTGGTGTTGTCCTGCGTAGTTTTCTCCCTTAAAGGGCTCTTACGACACCCACTTGATGAATAGGGGTGGTGACACTCCGTGTTCTTAATCCGTCACCACGCATACGTACTGTGATTATCGCATTATATACATTTTGTCACAGATTATGCAAAGATCACCATAACGATAAAAAAACTTGCAACAATTCGATATGTATAATGTTAATTTGCACACGACGTATGTGGCATACGATATAAGACTTCCACGTTAGGTATTCAATGTTTAGCCGTATACTGAATAGATTACGATCCCACCCACACCGGTTACGGGTAAGAAATTAAATGCTGTGGCGAAATGTTGTCTGGCCTTGATAAAGTTAACAGTATAAGGAATTGATTTTACCTGATTTTGTATACAATACAATACAAAAAAGCAGTTTTTTGCAGGTTGATTTTGTACAGCAAATTGTGTAATATGTCGATTATCTTGGTGAAAATTGTAACCGAAGTGGATAAAGTTTTCAACGTGAAGGGATGGCAAACTCAGACGGTCAAATCCTGGTCACCTTATTATCAAAAATGTTTTTTTCTTTTTGCTTTTTTTTTTGTTTTAAAATACAACTCCCGCACTAGGAATAAATCCTGTGTCGCGGGGGACTTTACAAACATACATGAAACGGACACAAAGTACACCCAGACTCAGAACAACAATTTGTGGATCACACAAAGTGTTGTCCCATGAGGGGTTTGAACCCACAACACTCGGCGTAATAGGAAGCGGCGTGGCGACCGCTTAAACCACTACGCCATCCGTGCAGTCAAATTCATCAATCAGCTGTCAGAGAAGCGATAAAGACAATGTAAGACCATCTTCATAGAATTTTGTTTTTGGCTGAATGGCTTTTAATAGCTACAGTTAAATGAAATGTGATAGACAAAGAAAAAACAAAAGAAATTACTTCAAGTTTGGACAACATCACGGTGTAGTTCGGGTATGAAGATGTTAAGTGATAGGTGTTAAAACGCATTAACATAACATTTGAATCTTTCATAAACACAATTTTCTTGAAACAAATCGTCATCCGGCAGCAAAGGAACAGTAGCATCACAAGTGCTGTAATATCTAGTGTGACTCACCACATCCAGTGGGTCCCAGCAGCAGGACGTTGCTCTTGTCGAGGCGCAGCTCGTGGTTCTGTCGCTCTAACACCTCCGCGCCAGCGCCGCCACCACCTGCGTTGTTCAAGTTGAGTAGATCTAAACAAGAAAGAACACTTAGTTACAGCTGCTACTTCAAACTTAACATCCTACTCTATTCCTCTATTTAAATTAACCTTTATATATATCTCACACGTTTCTTCAACCGATATTTTTTATTTTTTATAATAACTTCACACATCTCAGACACGGCCGTCTGGTTCCAAACTAGGCAGAGCCTGTGCTATGGTAACCATACTTACTTATATATTTCTGAACACATTCATATTATAGATAAATTATACCCAGACACAAAACAAAAACATCGTGCTCATCACACAATTATTTGGCCTGGGTAGGAATCGAACCCACGACCTCTGGCCTAGCAGTCAGGGTCACTAACCACTAGACCAACAGGCCAGTTTTTCTTCGGGTACTTTGAACATTCACAGTTTTCAATAGTTTTGTGATACCGTATGCTTTTTCACACAAATCGTACTTGGTTAATTTACCCATTAAATTAATACCATTCCTCTCTGTACCCTTAAAAATCTATTAAAAAATATTGTTGCCTAGTTTTACGAAATGTACGTACAAATTAAAAAAAACCGAAATCCAACGTATTGATAGATAAATTGAAACAATTACTCCTACACAAATGTTATTACAGCATCAGCGAATACCTGAGTGACAAAAACGAACCTAGTTAAACGAAATCGCAACATAAATTAGGTACATAAATCATTAAAATAGTATTACTATTGTTAATTTAAATTATCTCTTCCTCTCTCACCTATTGCTGTGCCCGACAGGGTCTATGACGATCTGATCTCATATCTATAAGTTACCACATAAAGAAACATTGTAGATTGCAATATACATATCGAGTATATTTTGCATTTTTTTTAATATTTGTTTATCAACACAAAACATATCAATAACCAAACCCGAATTTTTCGCTCGTACTTTGCAACAAAGGACGAGGTTAAAATTTAGATCATTTAGGAAAAAACAGCCTATGCTGCTGCATTGCTCTTTTTATTTTTATGTATACTTCGACATATAATTATTTTGTGACTGTAAAATGTTACATAAACCACATAATCGATTTTGATGCAATTTATATGTTTAGGTAGTTAAGATTCAAAATTTAAGCCGGTAGGTAGCGCTACATCATACATATTATCTTGCATTTTAATGTGATTTTATTTGTTTCGTAAATTGAGAAATCTAAACATGTAACTCTATTTGACAAATAATTTATCACTTATTAACATCACAAATTCGTGAGGTGACGGATTAAGAATACTGAATGTCACCAACCGTATTTATAAGGTAGGTATCGTAAGAGCCAACTAAGGAGGCAAACAACGCAGGACAACAGCACTGCAAAGAGAAGGAAAACTTGACACAAACCCTATACCAACCCGTCTGGCCAGCGTGGTATTGTAGGCCAAAACGTCCTTTCTAAGGAGAGGCCAATGTCCAGCAGTGGACTAGTAAAGACTGTAGATGAACATCACAATGTCACATATTTTGAAACGTGATAAAAATAGCGTCTATAAAATGCTAATGCATATTCATATTCTAATCCAATGATCCTACACTATATAATAGGCCTTGCACCCACCGACTATTACTTTTTCCAAAATTTAGACAACTTTTTAGTGGGTAAAAAATTCAATTCCCGAGAGGCAGTACAAAATGCCTTTGAAGAGTTTGCTGCCTCCCGTCCAGCTGATTTTTACAAGAAGGGCATCAATAAACTGCCAATGCGTTGGCAAAGATGCGTCGATTGCATGGGTGATTACTTCGAATAACAGAAATAAAAAAGTTTAAAAAAATAAGTACTTTCACTTATTGCATACAAAACGGCAATTTCATAGGTAAAGACCTAATATAGATACGTATATTTGACCTTTAATTTGTATCTTTAATAACAGAAACAGTTGTTAACTTATCCGGTTTCTGCGTTGTGAGGTCACTTATATAATTTGAACGTTTATGTTATGTCAGTAAACATAATAAATTAACAGGTTTGCATGGAATTCCCCATAGCTTCGTGTGAATAACCTTTCTGCTACTGTTTTCTATAGTTTTCATTGGCTACGGTGAGAATTTTAGTGGTTGTATAAAGAAGAATTTTATGTCGCAATATTATTTAATAAAAAGAAACTCTTTTTATTAAATAGTAGCCAATAAAGGACGGGTATAAATAACACAAACATTAGTTGAAGTATACGTCATATACGTACAACTTAGCAGAGCTTGTATTATGAAAGCTAGATTGACTGATAGAATACTTATATACTTTTTTCTTTGTAAATATAAACATAGAAAACACCTAAACTCCAAAACAAATGTTTGCAGATCATACAAGCATTTGGTCCAACCTGGGATTTGAACCCGAGACCTTTAACACAGCAGTCGTTTACGCTACCACTGTACCACCAAGGCAGTCGAATCTTACTTATCGCACTAATTACGTAAAAAGCAAGGGTAGAATTGCTGTGGTATGTGGTGTGTGCTGGTGTGGTGGCTGTGGTGAACAGTGGTATTCTGTGAGGTCGTGGTATTACTGCTGTCGAGCTGACTCATGTGTGAAGAAGCACAAGTTATCGTCTGCAGTATTTCCAGGCCGATACGACCTTCAAACCTTCAAGAAAAGAGCGTACTCCTACCTTAAAGGCTGGCAACGAACTTATGACTCCTGAGCTGCAGGCGTTCATGCTCGGCGGTAGTTTCCATCAGGTGACCCGTCTGCTCGTTTGCCCCCTCTTCCATTTAAAAAAAAGATAGCTATGTCTAGATCACATTTTGAGAATTGTTATACAAAATTCATTATTACTTTCTGGACACTAGCGCAGCAACATAAAATAAAAACCATCAAAGGTTACACAGCCACTGGAGCATGCAGCTCCGTTCATAGATTTGCCACACTTTCACATTATTTAAATTTAGTAGTTTCAGTAAAAACACTTTGTAAATGACTGGCGGCCATTGAGTTTCACGTTGTACGTAGCTATTTTCTTTTGATCTTTTTTGCATTAACTGACTATCTATCTATCAGAAAAGTTCTTGGTGGTCTCCTGAAATTTGTGGTGGTGTTTTTTTTTTTAAAAGAGACGATATGAGTAAGCAGTAATGAAGTCTTCACATCATATGCGAGTACGGAGAGGCTCGCTCGTTTTATTTTTATATGACGTTGGATGAAGAATACTTAGAATGGTTTATAGATTTATATGTGACATTTAAAAAATAAATAGACAAAAGGTTGCAATAGTAAAAAAAATAAAAAATAGTTTAAAAAAACTAAAAAACACGCTTTTTATAGAAAACCAAACTAAAAAATAGAAAATAAGTTTTAATAAATTTGAAAAAAGCATTTGGTGCCTGTTGTCAATAGTAAAAAGCACCCATTTTAAATTTTTTTTATATCTTTTTTTTAAATTAGTGTGTTGTCATCGGTCCTCGATATCTCAACAAAGTTTGAACGTATTCTGACCGTTTAAAGTCAGTCAAAATCACGCCCAAAGGAGTCGGTTACAAACAAACATACAAGTGAAGCTAACATAAAGCGTGTAAAAAAAAATGGAAATCTTTTTAACTATACCACAAAAAATATTACAATTATATTATTCAGATTGTGGTGCTGTGATATTCTATATTTATGTTCAGGAACAAATACTAGTTACAACACTAAAATTACCCGACGTTCATCAATTCTATTTTTTAAGCTTGTAAGGTTATGGAATATTACATAGTAAGTAAAACAATACGGATGTTACCATAAACCTACATCTAATATCCACTAGATGCGCTAATACTTCATCTACCTTGGGATGATTAGTATCTTAGCGCCCTGTACCTTTTAGATTACCTCTGTGCGTATGGTGTAGTGGGTGGTGGGCGTCTGGTGGTGCCCCACTGGTGATATTATTATAGATCCTCTTGTAGTGATTGTATACAGCCACTGATAGGACCTTCTTGGCGTATTCCTGACCAACGACATGTTTGTTCAGGTATTCGAAGATCTTCTTGGGAGGAGGCGGTGGTTTTCTGGGAAAATTAAGGATTTGGTTAATTATACAAGTATATAATGTTTATATATAGACCAAGATAAAGTAATATACATAAAGAGAGGGGTAAAGACAGAGGAATACTTTCTTGCTACCCAAGACCACTGTTTCATTTCGATGGCGTAGTGGTTTAAGCTGTCACCTCGCCGCTTCCTACCGTTTATTGTAAGAACCCTACATGGGACAGCACGTTGTGTGATCTACAAATTGTTGTTCTGAGTCTGGGTGTTCCTATGTGTTCGTATCATGAATGTTTGTAAAGATCCCCGCGACACAGGCTGTAGTCCTAGTGCGGGAGTTGTATTTTTTAATAGGAAGATGAGTAGTAGCAGTAACATGGAAAGGCCGGAGTTGCCTCTTAGCATCGCCGCGAGCTGTTTCTATAATACGATCGACGCAATGCATAACTTTCTAAAATTCTAAGTATTTTTCAAAGAGGAAAAACCAAAGTAGTAGGTAGTTTTTTAGGTCTACTGTTTGGTAGGTTTGACAGACAATCAGGTGGAAGTGTATCTATATATTGTCCATAATGTACACTACGTTTCAGTGGTTCTTTCTAAGTTTATACGTTTAGATTATTAGCTACTAAAATTTTCAACTTACTTGTGCAAAAAACTTAAAATACGAACTTTTTAATGTGCACAATATCTCGACTAAGATTCAGAGCAACACAAAGAGGAAAAAATATGTTAATTTCAGTCACAAAATTGAATGAGTTTTATGAGCATCCGTGAAAGTGAGTCCTTTCCGATGACACATTAGTACCCGCCAACCATTCCGCTTAACGTCCTTTATCAAAACAAACAAATGGAAAGTGACAAACACCTCGGATTACAAGCATTAAACGGTGAACTACTTTTGAAGAAAGTCACGCTTTCATGATATTTTGCGAAAGATTTTTTCGTGTTTCACTAAGTATTGTGATAAAGGCATAAGAGAACGAAAACGAAAGTTCCATCGATGGAACTGTTACAACTTATACATATAAGTTTATATTACATTCGAATGAGTTTAAACTGTCGTGTTTATGAGATGCAGATATAGTCTGGGGATTATATTTCGTATCACAGAATGGCTGTTAGGTGACAAAACTGCCGAACTGATTGGGCCGATAGGCGGGGGAAGACCGCAGCTTCCCCGGGATAGGGCTTTGCACTAGGCGCGGCGTCGATCCGGGGGAGGGGGAGGGGGCCTGGAATAAAATAGTCCGGTTCTTCCTCGGAGCCTGAGTCCGGACGTCGGGGTGGTTTTTAGTGGGAACAACACATACTCCTGGCTCCTGAGTCCCCACCCCGTCAAAAACAAGGTGAGACTAACACTAACTGTACCAGTAGTCATGTTTAGTTAGGTATGACATGGATAAGCAATGGGTAACTTAAGGGTGGTTGTATTTGCGTCAGTAGCAAGCACGAGATACTTGCACGTTTGGTTATACCGACTGACTGTTGGCCTAGTGGTTAGTGAGCCTGATTGCTACGCCAGAGGTCGTGTGTTCTATTCCCACCCAAAACAAATAATTGTGTAATGAGCATGGTCATTTGTTCTGTGTCTGGATGTACTTTATCTATAATATGTGTATTTAGAAATATATAAGTATGTTTATCAGAAGTCTGGTTACCAAGCACAGGCTCTTTTTTTTTTTTTTTTTTTTTTTTTTTTCCGTGCGGAAATCCCCTCGGATACCACCTGTCGGTGGCATGTCGGACTCGAACCGACTAAAACCGCACGCCTTCGCCGGGTACTAATTGCCGGGGAACCAGGTATACCCTAGAAAGGAAGGCCCTGGTGCCCCGACATACCTCGGGTCATCTACAGACGAGTAGACGACCCCCGCCCCGTGTGGGAACCCCATGTTCCCTGTGCTCCCTGGAAGCGAGCGCGCTTCGCAACGCGCTCGCCGCCACCCCGGCCTGCTTCTGCTAGGGTGACAGATGGCCTCACCTGTCACCCCCAGGCCTGCGCTTATGGAGGACGGAGGTCGTTCTGCGACCTCCGGCGCCTGAGTCGCCTGCGCTGCCTGGCCCGTGCCCGGGCCTGGCGGGCCGGGAGAGTTCTAAACCTCTCCCGGTCCCGCTCCGCCGTCTCCTTCGCGAGCATAACTTGCTCGCAGAAGGAGACGGCAGAGTTCCACGCACTCTCGCTCCGCACGATAGCCGCAATCAGGCTATCGAGCGAGAGAACTCCCACTCCGATGGCCGCCACGAGGTCTCGCCTCTGCTCAACCCACGCCGGGCACTCTGCCAGCGTGTGGAGAGCCGTGTCCACGGTCTGGCCATCGCAGTGGTGGCACTCAGGCGTTGGCTCCTTGCGGATCAGACACAGGTGATCTCCGAAACATCCCTTCCCAGTGATCACCTGCGTCAATCGGTATGAGAGGGTCCCGTGACGCCTCTCGAGCCAATCCTCCATAACGGGTCTTACCGCCGCAATGACGGCGTGCCCGGCGCTCGGTTGCCCGAGTCGTTCCCTCCACTCCCCTATGGTGACCTGGCGGAGTTGGGATTTCCGGTCATCGATTTCTCGAATCTCGGGGTATCGACCCAACTCCTGCGCCTCCTTGCGCCACTGATACAATGCTGCAAGGGCTCTCGCCTCCAGGTCCCACGGTGGAGTTCCGGCCAGGAGACTCGCCGCCTCGAAGGAGATCGTGCGGTACCCCCTTATGATCCTGATGGCCAGCATTCGCTGCGGTCGCCGCAGTATCGCGACGTTGCTGGCCTTCAGGGCCCCCGCCCATACTGGGCACCCGTAAAGGGCCATGGACCGCACAACCCCCGAGTAGAGTCTCCGGCAGGAGTCATCGGGTCCCTTCATGTTGGGCAGCAGCCGCGCCAACGCACGCGCTGCCCCGACCAACTTGGGGACCAGACCTCGGAAATGATATCCGAAGTCCCATCGGCCATCGAGTACGAGCCCCAGATACCTGATCGAGGGCTCGATGCCGATGCGAGTGCCTCCTACCGTGAGGCTAGATCCCTCAGGCGGCTTCCTCCGAAGCCCGTGGAAGAACAGGGCCTCGGACTTGTGCAGAGCCACCTCGAGACCCAGCCGCCGGATACGCTCAACGACTTGGGCAACCCCGGCCGTGGCCCTCAGGGTTGCCTCGTGGTGCGTCTTGCCGCGCGCCCCCCACGAGTGTGTCGTCCGCGTAGCACACGACGGCGACACCATCCAAGAAGGTACCACGAAGCACCCAGTCGTAGCCGATGTTCCACAAGAGTGGCCCTAACACCGACCCCTGCGGAACACCGCACGACATTTCACGCCTACCGAGACCGGTCCTACTGGGGTAGACGACGGCTCTCTCCGACAAATATGCCCCGACTATGCGGCGGAGGTAGAGAGGCACTTCGTGATACACGAGCGCCTCCCTGATGCAGCTCCAGGGCATAGTGTTGAACGCGTTGGCGATGTCCAAGGACACCGCCAACACCACTTCACCCCGGGAGACTGCTTCCTCCGCCAGAGCCTTCACGCGCATGATCGCATCCACGGTGGAGCGCCCCTGACGGAAACCGTACTGGTTGTCCGCCAGATCCGGCCCAACCATCACGAGATGCTTGACGAGGCGCCTTGCAATCACTCTTTCAAAGAGCTTGCACACCTCGTCAAGCAACACTATGGGCCGGTAGGCGGACGGTGAGTCCGCCGGGCGCCCCTCCTTTCGGATGAGGACCAGTTTCCCCGTCCTCCACAATTTCGGAAACTGGCCCCGCTCGAGGCATGCGCTGAAGAACCCTCGCAGTCGGGGCTCGAGAGCCTCGTCGACTAAGGCCAGGACCCACGCTCGGCCAGGAATGCCATCGGGTCCCGGGGCGGTGTTTTTGGCTTTAAGCCGTAACACCGCCACCCTTAGTTCCACCCCAGTGACCTCAGGCACGTCGTCGTCATCCACGTTAGGCGCCTCAAGCGCCGGAGGCGGAGCCATCTGTGGCGGAGTATGCTCCACCACTCGCGTTGGGAACAGGGAGCCAACGACCCTCTCAAGCAGCTCTGGCTGAAGACACCGTGTGAGCGGCGGGGCCCATGGGCGCATCTTGCCCCTAACCATACGGTAGGGGCGTCCCCCACGGATCCCGCTCCAGTGTCTCCAGCATCTCGCGGCGGGCCTCGCTCTTGGCCCGCTTTATCGCTGCCTGAAGGGTCCTCTTGGCAACCCTGTAACCCGCTAACAGCTCCGCCTCTCTCGCTGCCGCATCTTCGGGGCGGCGACGCCTCCTGCGGAACCTGGACCACTGGCGGCGCGCGGTCACGCAGGCTTGACGCAGCCGTGCGATCTCCGGCGACCACCAGTAGACCTGGCGCCTTGCAGTATTGGGCTGAGCCCTAGGCATCGCCGCATCGCAGACGCGGGTCATGGCCTCCCGGAACCACTGTGCCTCAGCATCGACGTCGACAGGCCTGTCCGGCGCAGGAGCCCAGGCCTGTACGATGGCGGCTTCCAGGAGGAGGTCGCGATCTAAGCGCTTGAGCGCCCAACGTGGTTCAGGTGGTGCCGGTCTGACCGGCGCGCCATCTGCAGGGGCGGAGACGTCAAACCGAATATATCGGTGATCCGAACCTGTCTCCTCCCCGACAACGACGCGCCAGCCTTGGACACGACGCGCTAGCGAGGGGCACGCGAACGAGATGTCCACGATCGAACTACCCCTCGCCGTCACGAACGTGGCCACGGCCCCCCGGTTTAGGAGAACTAGGCCGAATCTTTCAGCCCAGTTCTCCAATGCCCTGCCCCTCGGGTTCGTGCGCAGGGAACCCCAAGCCTGCGACCAGGCGTTGAAGTCCCCCAGCACAAGAACCGGGTGGGGGCGACAGGCATCGACGACGACGGCCAGCTGAGCGAGCCATTGCTCGTACTCAGTTAGGTTTCGGTTCGGCGTGAAATAAGCGGCCACGACCGCTATATCTCCAACTATCGCCGCTACACAGCCCCGTCCCCTTGCAACTACTGCAAGAGGTGGAGTGCCGGCTGCGGTACCG